CTAACATTTTAAGAATGCCTTTTCTGGGCTACACTTTATACACACTGATGTTTATGCTCACAAGTGTGATAGTGGGGACACTACTTAAGTCACTATTTTTATACAGGTGGAAATAGATCATGAAAAACACTAATTCATTTACTCAAGGTCACATAGATACTATGCTGTGGAGTTAGGATTTGAATTCATGGAACCTGTGTCTATGGATTGTGTGCGTTCCTGTACCGAACTGTCTATCCTCAAACATTTCTGCATGAATAACAACTATCCTTAGCCCAATTACTCATCTTCTGGACTGAGAGCAACGATTTGCTTATTTGGTTTTCTGCTGTGCTTAAGAAAAGGTGCACTCTACTTCAAGAAGCTCATGAATATCAAAACTGTAATCGCAGCTATTTGGATGACATGAGTTCATGCTTTACAAACCAACCATGGCCGTAGTCATATTGAAATCAAAGTTGCAAAATAAAAAAGCATTCTGAAAAACCTTGCCTGCTTCATTTAGATAACACTGTGCAGAATGAATTGAAAGATAAAAATGCTTAGCATTTATGATTTCTTTTTCCTTTAAAAATTTTTTAAGCCCCATGGTGTTATGAATGATATCATCAGGCAATTTAGTGTGAATATGCTCCATGCTGGACCATCCAGATTACCTAACTAATGACATGCACACTACTTGCTATTGTGACACCTCTCTTCTTAGAAGTGGGAATTTTAAGTGACAGTCCAAAGGTGTTTGCTATCAATTTTGCAAAAAACACATCTGCCACATAGCCAAGATTTAGTTCAGAGACCAAAATCGATTAATATTCTAATTTGTTACCTGTCATTAGCATCTCACTATACTATGCCAAGTCAAAAGTGATTACCTTTATATAGCATATGCTCCTAAAGGAATTTGATTTTAGGAAAATATTTTATTTAACTCAGTGTTGCTTCCTGTCTAAAATCCCATTAGAGATTTCAATTACATAGTAAAACAAGTGTGATGGATTAAAATGAAAGTGTAAAATATGCAATGCTAGATATTTAAAAAAAAGTTGCATGGCTGTATTAATGATTCAGTTCCTGCCCCCCCCCAAATCTATTTACTATACCTTTTTAAGGTTTTAAGTAGTTTTCTTATTTCTTTATATAATATAAGGAAAACATTATCAATATACCACTTTTCACAGGTGTTACTAGATCCTCTAGTTTCTGGTATTTTAGGTTGCAGATTTAAAGAAAATATCCTTGCAGCAGCATACTGTTATCTGGTCTTTTCAGTACCTAATATAGGGACATAGTCTCAGGCTTGGGAAGGAATAAGATAAAGCTAGCAAAGGAAAACAAAAGAAAGAATTTCATACTCAGCTTTTTTCCAGTTGCGTGTTCTCTTACTGATGAACAGATAGGAGAAAAAAAATATATAGCTGGATCCTGGTCAGAAAGAAGCAGATGTACCATAAAGATGGAAATATGTTGTGTTTTCAATATGCATGACACAAGTAAGCAATAAAATGGAGCTTCAGTGCATGAAATTTAAAATGTTTCATTTTGTCAGCATCTTAAGGCTACAGAATCTAAGAGGGACTGTTTAGGATATAAGTTAAATTGACAGTCATTAATTCACTCACACACTCATCAAATACAAATTGAAAGCCTTCCATGTGTCAAGTACCTCCAATGATATACCCAGGCATAAAACGTATCTAACTTGCTCCCCACATAGAACTTCCGTCATGTTGGGGGGATCCAGAATAATTAAAAACCAAATAATAAAATGCATGTTATTGTAGATGGTGCTAAATAATATAGTGAGGAAAAGAGCATAGGTAGGGGACAGGAAATACTGGTAAAGGTAAAAGATGCTGCGATTTTAAATATTGTAGTTGGATAAATCCTAAGAAGATGACATTGTGCAAAGACCTAAAAGAGATTACTAATGAGTTATGTTGATAAATGAAGGATATTTTAGTCCAATGATTAGCAGGCTTTCCATGTGTCTCATGCTGTTTATTCTTCTAGAGGAGGAGATGGTGTTGAACATAAAGCAGGATAAGTATTTGAGTATGTTTGATTGTTTAATCTGATTTCTTATAACACATTTCTCTTAGGGAAAATACTTAATACTCTTTAGATGAGAGTTTATATCTGTAATATATGCATTTGTCTTCTGTCTCGAAGTCCTAACTTCAAAGTTATGTAAAAATGACTTGGAGTTTGTATATCAGTCCATTAGCTTAGCAGTAGAGCAAAGAGAACTGGGATCTTGTGTTTTTTACTCAAGGGCTTGAGCTATTGGACCATTTCCATCTCTTCTCTTATGGCCTTCCTGCTGAGACGGGCAATTACCAGCAACTCTGTTAAGCACATGCCTCAAATGAAACTGTTTGTTAATAGTGTATGGACAGATCAACATGCTTCTAATAATCGAGGAGGTAGTGATTTGAATGAGAAATGTCCCCCATAGATTCAGGTATTGAACACTTGGTTCCCAGTTGGTGGCGTCCTTTGGGGAGGTTATGGAACCCTTAGGAGGTGTGTTCTAGCTGCAGGAAGAACATCGTTGAGCGCTGGCTTTGGGAAATTTCAGCCTCTCCCCACTTCCAATTTGTTCCCTCGGCTTTGAGTTTGAAATTGAAAAAGTGCTCTCAGCTTCCTGCCCCTGTTGCTATGTGCCAGCCTGTGGTCGCACCTCCCGCACCATTACGGATGTGCCCTGTGGAACTGGAAGCCAAACAAACCGTTCCTTCTTTAAGTTGCCTTTGGTCATGATATTTTATCACAGCAATCAAAAGGAACAAAAAATGCACAGTTTTTATAGAAAAAAATTTATAAATGTTTTGTCTTTCATCTGGATTATTCCCAAAGCTTGTTTACCTTTCCTCCTTAAATGGTATTTTAGTTCACTGGGTTCAATCCAAGCTCCTTGGACTAATTCACAGAACCTGATATGGTATGGCTTCTGCTAGATATACATTCACCTTCTGCTGTTCTCCCTTTGTTTTACTAAAGGAAATGCTTTTGAACTAATTTTATGAGGCCAGCATCACCTTGATACCAAAGTCAAACCAAACCTACACAAAAAATACTACTACATTCCAGCACTCCTGATGATTAGGGATGTACAATCCCTGAACACAATACTAGCAAACTGAATCCAACGACACATAAAAACATTCACCATGATGAATTTGGATTAATTTCAGAGAGTTGAGGGCAGTACAACATATGTAAATAAACTAATAGGATAAAGTAGTAAACAGTATGACAATTTCAATGAATAAATTTTTAAGAATTTGAAAAATTGCATATAAGAAATGGCCAACAAATTAGGTATAAAAGAAATGTACTTCAACATAATGAAGGGCATATATGACAAATCCAGAGTTAGCATCACACTTAGGAGGGGAATTTTGAAAACACTCCTTCTGTGATGCAAATAGCAAGGATGCCTATTCTCGCCAGTTTCATGCAGTTTAGTATTGCAGGTCCTAACCAGAGTAATATGGCAAGAAAAACCAACCAAACTTGAAGGAGTTAATTTTTTCTTGAACTACTACTCAGCTATAAAAAGAAGTATACTCTGTTATTTGTGACAACATGGAAGAACTCGGTGGGCATTGTGTTAGATGAATAAGCCAGGCACAGAAAGAATAAATCCTGTAATATTCCACCCTGTGGAATGTTACAAAGCTGACTTCAAAGGAGTTGAGAGTAGATGGTGTTTATCAGTGGCTGGAAAGAGGAAGGGGGTAGGAGAACCTGAGAAAGGTTGGTGAATAGTTACCAAACTAGTGTTAGACAGAAGCAAGAATTTTTGGTGTGCTGTTCCTCAGTAGAGTTGCTACAGAAAATGAAAGTGTACTTTAAGAGTTCATAAAGGTAGAAGAAAGGATTCTGGAAAATTCCAGCACAAAGAAATGGCAAATGTTTACATACAGTTGTATTTAGCTTTGTTACAGTTTATATAATGTATATGTGGATTGAAACATTACATGGGATGTCACTAATATGCACAATTTTTATGTGTAAAATATAATTTGCATAAGTAAATGTAATTTAATAAAGACAACAAGAGAAAAAGAAAGTCGGTGTGATAGAAGAACAGGAACAGTGGTGACCTGGGCTGAGAACAGGCGATAGTGGTAACCCAGGCTGAGAACAGGGGATAGTGGTGACCCAGGACAGGGCAGATTGGGAAGATGGTCAAAGTTTGTAAACTTTCAGTTAGATGGAAAAGTAAGCTCAGGAAATTTATTGCACAAATGGACTGTAGTTCATATTACATTGTAGTCTTGAAATACATTAAAAGAGTGAGTATAAGGTGTTCTCAGCACAAAAATTTATAATTATGTGAGGTATGCATATGTGTTAATCAGTCAGATTTAGGCCATTTACAGTATATATAACTTTAAATATTGTACTGTACACAGTCAATACAATGATCTATATCAATATAAAAATAAAATTAGGAAAATTAAATACGATGTATTGGACTTAATGCTACATGTATCCAAATAAACTCATATATAGGCTTTGTGTTTCCTGTTGACATGAAAAAAATGAAACTGTACCAGAAAGTTTTAATAATATTGGCAACTTAATAAAATAAAATAAAAGTTTAAAAAGTTTTAACAAATCAGTGGAGGAAAAATCAAACATGGGAAAAGAAATATTAGCTAATATAATCTTCATTAGTAACAATTTCATTAATATAAATCTAAGGTACACATAACAAAACCCAGAGACATTACTATTCTTGAGAGAAACAGAGAAAGAAGAACCTACGTGAATTAGACAACAGGCACATATTTTCTTTGTAAACTCTATTATTTATAAAATATAGTTAAAGAGAATAAGAATATTTCATCTCCAAAATTATTGCCTTTATTATTAGAGTACTAACCATTGAAAACTACCATGATGTGTGTGTTGAGTTCTGCTGATTTTTCCACCAAATCTAATGAGTTTTCAGCCTTTTATTTGTATTCAAGTAAAAATAGGATACTTACATGGAATTTTATGCAGTTCGTTCATAAACTTCTCCTTCAACTTAGAAAAGGCATCTTCCTTTCCTTCCCCAGGACTGGCTGGCTCTGTGGCATTATGTGGGACAACAGTTGCAACAGTGGTGACTGGTGGGGCAGCCAGGGCCTCATGATGACTCTCACTCACCATTTTTGGTTCAGTTGAAACTGAGAGGGGAGGGAAACAGAGAAAATACAGTTCAAAATGGCATGCCAGACCCCATCTCACAGGTATACCAGAGATGAGAAACACCACCGGTTGCACCTGCTTCCTGGGTAAATGGTCTATCATTAGCATATTACTTCATGTCAGCTCATGTAGTATTTATGGGACCACAGTGAGCGAAGAGCTCATCTCCAGAAGTTTAAGACCAGGTGTAGTTGCTGAAGTGTTCTCTCCCAACAATACTGTCAAATCTATTAGCTATGTATACAGGTCCAATTTTATTGTGTAAATTTAACTTATAACAATAGCTTGCTGAAGTTCATAGGAACCATTGTTGATAACATCTATGTTATATATTCTAAACATCTTATATTTTCTAAAAGAAAAACACAAATCATGGGTATTTATGGTAGAAATGGTGATAAGTGATTGCATGCATTAACAAAGTTAGTGATTTTTTTTTAAAGTAATTGCATATGCTAGCATAACATTGATCACCCAAATACCATAAAAATTAGAGAGCAAATTGTTCTTGAATCTCGTTATTGATGGCAAGTTTTCTCCCTAGTCATTTTATTTGGCATTTACTGTAGATGACATTCTGATCAATAATTCACTTGTTTTGCTGGTGATATTTTTAGGTTACTGTAATTGTGGCATAATTGACTCCATATATTAAGACACTGTTAATAAAACAAGTATGTCTGCTTAGTTATTTAAATTTATCTAACTTCAGTATCTTACTGAATTATTTTATCAAATTCACTTATTCTATCATTTTAAGAATTTGTTTACCTTTGAGCTACAAAATCCAATTAATTCTAAAGTAGTAAATGAAAACATTTTGGCTTTGATTTCTGAAGCCAACAGTTTTAGTCCTATTCTCTAGTTAAATGAAGTTTGATAAATCATCTGACCTCTTAATTTCCCCTCTTTTAAATGTGAAAACTAAGTTTTTAGTCCTATTCTCTAGTTAAATGAAGTTTGATAAATCATCTGACCTCTTAATTTCCCCTCTTTTAAATGTGAAAACCAAGTCTTGCCCTTCATAGTGTTCTTTGACTAACATAAGTGAATATTTATGTAAATGTAAGTAATGGATTCTAAGGGAATAAAATAAACTTATTCTGTATTCAAAAAGTGATTTGGACCTTATAATTTTAGTGTGTCTTAAAATTTCAGGCTATGCTGACAAGAAGGCAGACATAATTGTAGGTAAAAATAGACAAATGTTAGCTGGTGGTATATTGTTGCTAGTTATGTAGGTTGCTTTTTAGTTGCTACCTCCAAGTGGCTAGACTGTTGTTCCTAACTTTTGTACACAGAGATACACAGGTTTCTTGCCTCTG